TACAAATGTAAAACTACACATGGGAATATATAGTAAGATGACAGGCCAAAAGTTTGTCTGTACAGCAGCAGTAAACACAAACTGAATAACAGGTGCAACCACATCCTGTTAGAAGACGTGTACCTGACAAAACCACTGGGGGCTGAGATCCACATGAGTGGGCGTGTGTTCTTATTAGTCAGCAGCCATTAAAACATGTTATTATTTTAATAAGACAATAATTCAAGAGGTGAATATACAGTAGAACCTCTAAAGATTTATTTCTGTCCATACATCATCTGGCTCTGGACTCAGGTCTCGGGGGCAACATCTTGAGCAAGGAGGTCCAGACATCTCTTTCTACAGCCACCACTTCGAGAAGGACTCCAAGGTATTCCCAGACCAGCTAGTAGACATATCTCTCCAGCATGTTTATGGTCTTCCTTGGGGTCTTCTCTCAGATGAACATGTCCAGGGTCCATCATTACCAGATGTATGAACCACCTCAGCTGGCTCCTCTGGGTATGGAGGAGCAGCAGCTCTACTCCGAGTCTCTCCTCGATAACTGAACTTCTCACCCTATTTCTAGGGAAGAGTCCTGCTTCCCCACTGAGAAAACTTTTAGACCAGACCATTTGTGGGGCAGCTGTGGCTGAGTGGTTAGAGTAGTCGTCCTCCAATAGGAGAGTTGAAGGTTCAATTCCACCAGCAGTTACATGTTGAAGTGTCCATGGGCAAGACACTGAACCCCTTATTACCTCTGATGTGTGTTCCATCGGTGTTTGAATGTGATCTAAAACAATGGTAAATGGACTGTACTTATGTAGCGCCTTTCTATCTTGCCAAGATACTCAAAACGCTTTACACTACAATCTGTGTCTCATTTATCCATTCATTCAGCACTCTACTAGAGCTCTACAAAGCTAATCTGAACCCTTTATAAGAACTTTAGATCACATTCATACACTGATGGGACACACATCAGAAGCAGTGAGGGGTTCATTGTCTTGCTCAGGGACACTTCAACATGAGACTGCTGGTGGAATCGAACCTCCATCTCTCCCACTGGAGGACGACTGCTCTAACCACTCAGCTACAGCTGCCCCCAAACTGCCTCTAATGGCCCTTTTCCACTAGCGCCCCTACAGCACAGTTAGACTTGGCTCTGCACCGACTTTTCCACTATTCCACCATTCGTGGAACCAGCCCCGTTTTCTGAACCAACTTTGCTGTGGTTCGAAGTGTATCATGCTGACCTGAAAATGTGAAGTCAGAACACTGTCGGTCACTGATTGGTCAGGGGGTGGAGTCACTAGTTGTTTTGAGCAACTTTCACAACAACTCAATCCATCATTGCAATAACTCAGAGGAGCAACTGGACCTATTTTACAGATTTTAAAAACAATAATGACGACACAGTGGTCTAACGCTGAAGTCCAAGCATTTTTGTGCTTGGTGACCGAAGACAAAACTTAGAGTAAACTAGATGGAGCGACCCACAAAAAAAAAGTTTTTAAAGAGGTGTCAGAGCTGATGGCTTCTCACGGCTACCAGCAAACACCGAAGCAATGCCCGGAGAAGCCAAACCTTGTCTAGAATCAATGATGGATGATGGTGAGTGTTTTCTAACATTAAGCGTATTTTAAGTTACTCATCCCATCAGTTTTGAGCATATTTTGAACAAATAAAAGAGGCTGACACCATTGCCCCTGAATGTAATCAGGCAGCTAATTAGCATCAATGCTAACTGTAGTCTGTTCTTGTTCTTCACTCTATTTTGATTCAGAATGTCTCCCGGCATGTGACGTTTTGTCTACAAAAAGGGGAATGCGGCGCGCTCACAAGAGAAGAACCTGACAAGTTGTTTAACATAAAATAGATTTTGTTAGCAAAGAATAGAGTCCTAACATTTGTTAAACATCTGTTTTTATAACAAAATAAAAAAAACATCAAACTTGTGCTTTGACAATCGATAAAACGTTGGTTACGTACTGTAACCCCAGATTCTATGAGTATAGGCATAGCCCTTAAAGGCTGTCGCTTGTGGGTTTTATTCCGTCACGCAAAGCGTCGCACTGAAAAATTTAGTCCACGCCCACCTGTCGTGTGGGCCCCACCCGGTCCGTATAAATTACGTTGAGAGCGGGTAATCAGCTCCCAAATAGCTTTTTTTTCTTCAGCCATTTAGGAGCCAGTGAGGCCCAGAGCTTAAAGGGCTTCGCCTATACTCATAGAATCTGGGGTTACAGTACGTATCCAACGTTCTATTTCGTATAGGCTTCGCCCTTTAAGGCTGTCGCTTCTGGGTTTAAGGGCGAAGCAGGATGTGGTCTTTGCCTCACTGGGTCCATTCGAACACTGTATGAAGCGCCCTCTTGCACCAAAAAACATTTTATCCCTCAGCCCTCCATGTGCGTAAATATGCGCTGCGTAATTAAGCGCACCATGTACAGACGCGCACTACGTAATTTACGCATTCCGTGTACATGGGCGCCCGGAGAGAAAAGTTCTCGACGGGAAAAAGGGGAGAGGCTGAAAAAAACCAGTGAACAGATTCAAAATAAATTAACTGATTAGTAATCAAATGAACTGATTGGTAACAGTATTCATGAACTGATTAGTGACATTAGAACAAAAACCAACAGTCACAAACTTGTGACTGATAACAAATATCTCACACTGTAATTGCATGTAGTCAGATGTGAGTTTGAACGAAGTTCCATGAAAACAATGAGATTCATTCTGTTAAGGTACCGAGGACAGCATGCGTCATGGAGCGAGCTGACACATCACGCAGATAGAAGCAAATAAATGAGCAGGGCGATTACCACATGGCCGCAGTGCAAATATCGTGCATTGTCATACCATTATGCAAGGCTGTCAAGGATGCGATTCCTCTGGTCGAGTGCACCCTGAGGTTGTCAGGGGGGCTCTAAACTTACGTACTTTAAAGCAGGCATCTAGAAACCAGGAGAGAAAATGGCGCTCTACTAATGTTGAAGAATTTTATTTAACTTAGAAAGATAGTCTGCTAACATATAAAAAAGCTCTCCGTAACGCTAGAACTTTATATTACTCATCTTTAATAGAGAATAAAAATAACCCTAGGTTTCTGTTTAGTACTATTGCTAGACTAATTAAAAGTCCCATTTCTGTTGAACCATGTATCCCTACAACTACAAGTAGTGATGACTTCATGAGATTCTTTATAAATAAAATTATTTCAATTAGAAAGATAATTCAAACCATCCTTCCTTCTACTATTTCTGGTCCCCTGTCAAATGAAGCAACTTTAAAAATGTCACTAGAGCCTGATTTATGTTTGGACAGTTTTTGTCCTGTTGAGCTCTCTGAATTGTCAAAAATAATAACGTCATCCAAACCATCCACATGCCTGCTAGATCCCATCCCAACCAGACTGTTTAAAGAGGTATTTCCCCTAATTAATGTCCACATTTTGGATCTACTTAATTTGTCTTTAATGAATGGTTATGTACCACATCGCTTTAAGGTTGCTGTAATTAAACCTTTACTTAAGAAGTCTGATCTTGATTCAGAAATTCTGGCCAACTATAGACCTATATCTAATCTAACTTTCATCTCAAAAATTCTAGAGAAAATAGTTGCTGGTCAGTTGCGTGAACATTACAAAGAAATAATCTGAAGAGTTTCAGTCAGGGTTTAGAGCTTATCATAGCACAGAAACAGCACTAGTAAAAGTAACTAATGATATTCTCATGGCCTCAGACAATGGACTTGTGTCTATACTGGTCTTGTTAGACCTCAGTGCTGCATTTGATACAGTTGATCACAATATTTTACTACAGAGGCTTGAATATGATATTGGGATTACAGGAACGGCTCTAAAATGGTTTAAATCATATCTATCTGATAGATTCCAGTTTGTAAATGTAAATAATAAATCTTCTTCATACACCCAAGTTAGTCATGGAGTTCCTCAGGGCTCAGTGCTTGGGCCAATACTCTTTACTTTATATATGAGGCATTTCAGCTGCTGCTGCTGCTGTTTTTTTCCCCTGATTGGTTGGCAGCACTAATCATACTCACCTGCTACAGATGACTCATCTACTCACTGGCTTTATAAGGATTCACTGTGGATCAGGACTTCGCTGAAG